ATTGCCAATAACCATTGGCTTTCAAAGGATATGGTAATGACCAAAATCGAGGTATTAACGACAATCGGACTCCAAAAGATGTCGGTCAAAACATTACTGGTCTTTCCAATAAATATGGTGACAACCAAATCAACAATACCAATTTGGGCTTTGAACAATGCTAGTGACCACTGGACTTCCTGAGGAATGCTAGTAATGACTAGACTTCATGGGGAGATATTGGTAACAACCAACATTCCAATAACAATTGGGTTTCAATCAAAGTCAGTGACTGCTGGACTTCTTGGGGAAATGTTGATAACAAACAACATTCAGAGAATATAATAGAGTTGGATGAGATTTGCCAATTACAATTGGACTTTAAACAACGCCAATAACCACTTTCTTGGGGATTGGTGACGACCAAACCAATGATACCAATAACGATTGGAGTTTGATAATGTCAGTAACTACTGGACTTCAATAGGGGATAGAAATAACAATTTCAAATGGCGCCAATAACCACTAGACTTCAAGGGGATTAGTGACAACCAAAACAGTGATATCGATAACAATCGGATTTTAAGCAACGCCAGTAACTATTGGGATTTCAACAGAGTTGGTTAACAAATGGGACATCGACTGGGGGGATAGATTCAGGTAGACACTAGATCTTAAGGACAAGCTGCAACATTAGTAACGACTAAAGTTTGGTAACTACCAATTTAGCAGTATCAGTTAGGGGTCAACGGACGACCTATTGCTAGTCATAGCTAGACTTCCCAGAGGAATCTGGTGACGACCAGACAAGCAAAATCAATAGGGAAGTTGGTGACAACTAGACTTCCTGGGGATTCTAGAGAGAAATAAAACCTTCCCTGGGGATTAGACCAAAAACAGAGAATTTCCTTATAGTGAAGAGTTCAAACGGGATCTTCAGGAAACCACTGGAGGTGTAGGTGATAAACTAAAACATCCTAAGATGCACTAGAAATGCTGGTAACAACCAAACGTCCTGAGATTTACTAGGGATACTGGTAACTACCAGCCATTCTGAGACGAACGATGCCAATAACCATTGGAATTTTAAAAGGGTATGGCAACAACCAAAACCGAGATGCTAATAACAATTGGACTTTAAATAACGTCAGTCAAAACATTACTGGACTTACTGGGGATAAGGTGATAACCTTAATCCACAACATCAGGAATGATTAGATTTTTGCACAAAACACCAGTCAAAACCTTACTGGACTTCATATGGGAATAACCATCAAACGGAGATGCCAATATCAATTAGACTTTTAAACAACACCAGTCAAAACAATACTGGGCTTCAGGGGATTGTTAGTAACGACTAGACTTCCAAGGGGATATGGTGACAACCAAACAACGATATCAATAATCATTAGATTTAAACAATGCCAGTAACTACTAGACTTTTTGGGGATATAAGTATTTATCACAATAATACCTGAGCCAGATAACCTGACAAAGTTAAGGTAACAACCAAAGGGTAAGCCCGTGACAACAGGTCTGAAGCAAAGGGGTTTAGTAACGACCAAAGGATCTCAAGACAATATCCAGTAACTACTAGGGAAGAAACACCCGAAATATTCTTGACAAAGAAAACCACTCATCCGGATCACAAAGGCTACATCCAGAACAGACCAAAACAAGAGATATGCTAAAAATTGCATATGTTAATGGTATGATACAAATGTAATGCCGAACAACACGTAGGGGAAAGCAACGAAAGATAGATAACGATCTATCACAGGGGAAACAAAGAATCACACTGAATCCCGACACTAGAGAATGGTCTTAATCCTCTGGCGATTCTGCTGGGGAAACGATCCTTGTTCTTGCAAGCTTGTTGGAGAGAGGTCATAACTTTAATACAGTTGACAAAAATAACTAATTAGAGATATCGACACTTTGTAGCGCAGCGGCTTGGGGAAGGAAATCCCTATCGATCTCATATTCTTGAAATGACGGTATCAAGGTTTCAACCGTTCTTTTAAAACTTTCAGCACAAAGGTTAACAAGAGTGAATGAAAAGGGAGACACAAATATTTTTATCATGGTTCACTGTTAACAAAGTTACTCCAATCCACCTGTCAAGGTGATTTCACCTTCAAAAAGGACTTAATCCAATAATCTAGAAAGATTACAACAAGTTCGTCTAAGTGTTTAGAAAAACACCTTAGCCCTCTTAAGTCTACAAACTAACACTTAGTCACTTGAGGAAAATGATATCAAAGAAGATACAAAGAAAGTGTTTACAAAATTGCTTCTATAAAGCAGATGAAACAAACATTTAAGAAAAATGTATTACACAAATATGAGCAACAACTCTTTGTGTTTTTGTGAGATTTCTAGACTTAGCGTATTTCACTTTCAATATTGATCGTTGTGCTTCTTCTTCTTTGACAATGAGGTAGATACTTCTTTATATAGCTGAATGTTTGAACATTGAAGGGTACAAGCGTAAATCTTGATGCCAGCTGTTGCAACGGTAATAACAAGACCGTGAAAGATAATAGTGGTAAAGTCTCACCATATTCCATATTGCAGTACTAACATGAAATCAGTTTATACCAAAATGGGAATGAACTTTAGTACGAATTCTTTCATCACATGTTTCTGTCTTTGACCTTATCTTCTAATCAACTTTATCTGATGTGAAGTGATGATGAGTCTAGAAGAAGAACGAATGAGTGAAATTAGAGTCTTCGGAGTCTTCAAAAGCCTTTAGAAATAATGTCTTAGAGTCTTCAGAACTTGTTCAACAGAACCTTGTCTTTAGAGTCATCAGAGCTTAGTATCAGAGTCGGAAGCGAACCTTTTCTTAGAAGCGCATAACTTTCTTTTTCTTCAGAGACATTCAACATTCATTAGAACTGTTGATGTTTCTTTAAAGACGAACAAAGTAAATTCTTGAGGCGTGCCAGAAGGATTCTGATGAAACTTCACGAGATTTATTCAAAATCAATTTAAAATTGACTGCACACTTCAGAAAAATTCATTAGAGTATATAACTGTTACATATAAAATATATGCATTGTTATCATAAAAAATCAGAGATTATATACAGAACCAAAATCTTATTCTAATAATTTTCTCTCTATCTCTATTAACTCTAAATTGACCATCTCCATTTAAATAAATGAGACAAATAGACTAATTATATTTAAACATTTCTACACATAAGAATGAAGCTCAAGCCTAACACTATCCTCTAAAAAAAGGTGTCCCCAAAAAAGAATATTCTAGAGACAAAAATCCTACATACCTTACAATAAAGTCACAATGAAGACTCCAAATTCAAGTAGACATTATTTTAACTCAAAATACTTTTTACTTTTAATTATCACTGACTTAGACTTCAAAATATCTTAATTTATTGGACCTTGGTTCACCACCTTATTAATTAACCTTATTATTCTCCTAAAAACATATTTTGATCGACAATTTTAATATTAAATAAATCTTTTAATTTTTATTATATGTTGTGCATTTTAAATTTTAGTTTTCCATTCTAAATTATACTTTTAGATTCAGTGTATCTAAGCTTATGTTCTAACTCTTTTCATTATTGAAGTTAAACTTAAAATAAATTCTTCTTTCTCTCAATAGGTCTTTTAGAGGTCATTTGACTATTTACTTAAATATACCCTTTTTCCAAGCCACTTAAGTGGGAATACCTTCATTATCAAAAGAATACAAAATTATTTATTTATTACAATATTTTAAAATACCAACACTTTGTTTTTATTTGGCACGAAACATGGGAAAACATAATAAAATTGTCATAAAAGGACCCTCAAAAGAATTGAGAACAACATTAACATTATAATACAATAAATTGGTGGGTCCTTCAAAAATTTTACCAAACCACAATCCAAAATAGAATTAAATAATCATACAAAATAAAAGAATAATTAAGTTAGAAGGTTGGCTTGTCATTTTGTGCTTGTCTTTGATTTGTTGAAGATTGAATCAACTGTTTATGAGCATCATCAAAGTGTGAAAATGGAATAATATCCAAAAAAATAAATAATATAATATTTTAGAAAGCTACTAATTCTGTAGTCTCTTCTGATCCTTAATTATGTCATTAATTCACATAAAAAGTATACTATAAATATTAGATGGTAAAGTAAAGAATTTTATCCATACTTTAGCTTGACTTGAACACTAACATCTTCCTTGAAGGTTGTTCATGAGAAGCATAAATAACATTATTTATTTTTTCATAAATTTGATATCATCACTATAAAGTTATCTTGGTTTTCATTAGAGGGATAGTTAAAGGAGGCAAAAGCTTTGGGAACATACAACTTCTTGGAGTAAGAAAATTTGCACAAATTGTGAGTTAGCAAAACTTGAAACTTCTTTAAGACCTTTTAGCTTCTATAATTGTTTGAAAGAATAGCTTATTTAAAAAGGGTTTTGTTTGATTTTTCAAAATTTGAAACTTCATCAGTGATTTCATGCATATTTAAGTTAGACGATTCTGATTTTATATTTGTTAAAAAAAATTCGAGATATCAGTTATTTGATTTTAATTCAACGATATTATGTCTATGATATATGTTTGGCCCCACTAATATTTAATCTATTATTAATTATTTAAAAATTTTTATTTTTTTCTTAAAATTAGTGTTGTCACCACTAATTATAATTTGTAGATGTTAAACTATCTTAATATTTTTTTTTCTAATATACTATAGTATAATTAACTTAATGATAGTGATATGTCAAACAAAACTTAATGATAATTATGCCATCATATTTTATTATTAACAATGTGAATGCGAGAAATCTTAGACGATAAAAAAATGATTTGATTTTAATCTAACGATTTTAAATTATTATCTTAGTGAATGCGTTGATTGCGATAAATTCAATTTCATATTTCCATGCATGTGAAAAGAGTATAATCAAGAATATTATACTATAATAATGAATAATGTCTCATATTTAATTGTGACTTACTATGCTGAAACTTGTTACAGATGGAAGAAAGAACTGAGATGGATAATAATAGTAAGGTTGATGAATTGATGCCTGGTTTTCGATTTCATCCCACAGATGAAGAACTTGTTGCTTTTTATCTCAGAAGAAAAGTTCAACAAAAATCACTTCCTATTGAACTTATTAAGCAAGTTGATATTTACAAATATGATCCATGGGATCTTCCAAGTAAGAACTTTTATTCACTCACCCTTTTCTTTTTCTATATTTCTCTTTTTTTTTAATTATTTTTTTATTTTTACATAAAACCCATTTTTCTTTTTCTAATGTTCTAAAGAATCAACATAAAAAGTTTAAAACTTAAGGTTATGTTTTATAAAAAAATATATATATTTTTTAATTTTATTTATTTATTATAATGATTGAATTACCATATTCTTAGTTCCTATTAAATAGATATATTTCTTATTTAGATCCTTACTAAAAATATTTTTATGAAAGTAGGGCGCACCCTATTTTTGTAAAAATTAAGGGGAAAAAGTAGATAATTTTTTATAAGGGTTAATTGATAAATTTTTTGATTTTGTAAAAATTATAAATATATTAAAATTTTAATATATTTTAATAATATGGATGATTTATATGATTGAGAAGATAAAATGATGATTAGGATACAAATAATTTACATAATAATTTGATTTTTTTTATATAAATTATCGATTTATACTATCCTCATGACATTGAACTCTAAACAAATATTTTATACTAATTTAACTTAAAATAACTTGAAAATTCTGAAAATTATAAAAAATATTGGACGCGTTTTAAAAAATTGTAACAGAAAATGTTGAATAAATTATACAATAAATTCTATATATTGGTTGTGACAAAAATATTGACTTATTTTATATTTTATTTTTGGGTACAAAAAGAGCTTGCAAGTAGTGGTGAGAAAGAATGGTATTTTTATTGTCCAAGGGACAGAAAATACAGAAACAGTTCAAGGCCTAATAGGGTTACAAGGGCTGGATTTTGGAAGGCCACAGGAACTGATAGACCTATTTATTCATCTGATGGAAAATGCATTGGTTTGAAGAAATCACTTGTTTTCTATAAAGGTAGAGCTGCCAAAGGGACCAAAACTGATTGGATGATGCATGAGTTTAGGTTACCTTCCATTTCAGATTCATCAACCTCTCCTCCCAAAAAATTCTCTGACAAAAGTTTCTCTCCAAATGTAAGTACTTTAGTACTAATTTCATACTATTAGTGTTATTTTTATTTGGCTTAGTCGATAAAATAGTAATAATTACTAGAAACTTACGTATATTAGTTATGTGGTTCTAGTTTACATACAACTAGTCGCGCAAACACTACATTCAAATTTTGGTTAATTTTATACTAAATTAAGTGTTTTATGAATTTTTAGGATTCATGGGCAATTTGTAGGATTTTCAAGAAAACAAATTCTCTATCAATGGTGCAAAAAGCATTATCTCATCCTTGGATCTCTCAATTGCCAGGAAGCATGGTATCTGAATTACTCACGCAAACTACAAACATCAATCAATTTTATTCACAAAATATTATCTCGTCTCCAACAGCAGAGCAAGGAACATCGACCACAACAAACTTACAAATGTAAGTAAAACAATATATTTTGTTTATATATATAGATCAGGTACATCGTTTATTTAATAAATTAAAAAAAAATTATAATAATGATGAGAAAATATAAATTTTTTGTATTTGTCGCTAATTATCGACATTTAATTTTGCAGCAACGAACATGAGCTACAACAAGTCACCAACACCAACAACAATTTCTCAGATTCCGATTTTCCAACATACAAACCTATCAACAACAATAACACAATTCCGAAATCCTCCCAAATTTCTCTTCCTAATGGAGACATTGTTGATAACCTAATGTTCTACAATCTTGAAGCCAATGGTTCAACAAAGTGCACAATTGATAATGATTGTACAATTCTTTCAAACACAAACTATATTGGTTTTGAAGACACAAATAATCAATATAATGGATTCTCAATAAGTCTACCTCAAGATATGCAACAACCAAACATTCAAGATCAAATGCAGCTTAATGATCAATGGGAAAATCTAGGAAGAACAATTGAATTTCCCTTCAATTTGTCTCCAAATTTTGATGCTTCGAGGACTAATGTTACATGGGACATACCACCTTGTACTAGTGAAATTTCCACAACTTATGTCACTAGTAAATGTTACACTTAGGATATGTTTGGATCTATGTATCAAATTAATTAGGAGTGGTTAATTATCAATTTTTAACAATTAGTATATTTACCAATAAAATCATTACCATTTTAATTGGTTGTGATTTTACTTGTAAATGTACATGTTTTATTGTTTGCTTATATGTATAATAGGGTATTACATTGTATAAGATAAGGTCATGTATAGAGAAAAATAGATTTTAAAAAAAATAGAGTTTTTGTATATATAATCTTTAAATTTTCATGTAATATTTTAACATTGTAGTAGCTTATATTTTTTTTACAAGGATATATACTATTTTTTAAAATTATTTTTTTTGCTTATATATATATATATATATATATATATATATATATATATATATATATATATATATATATATATATATATATATATATATATATATATATATATATATATATATATATATATATATATATATATATATATATATATATATATATATATATATATATATATATATATATATATATATATATATATATATTATTTTACTTCTCTCGCTAAAATCCTAATGACTTAGGAATACAAGAAAGCTTGGAAGAGATAGTTTAGATTTTATTTTTTCAATTTTATCAAAATTCTTGAGTTTAAATCTATCCCTAATAATGTAATAACATTAAAACTCTTTAAATAAATAAATAATATATTTTAATTAACAAAATAGAAATTTCTTGTAATCTTGATGTTTGGAACATATAGCTGTAAAGGTTGGAAAAAGTTAAAACAAAGCACAACATGATTTCTGTTGAAAGACTATAGACTTATATTTTGGATGCAACTAATAAAGTTAATAACAAATTAATTAAATTAAATTAAGGTTAGCTTTCATGGTTTTGGATAAGCAATACTATTAGCTATAGCACATAATTAAATAGAAGATGGAAATTTGTTACGTGTAAGAATGAATTTATCGTCGCAGACAAATGAGACATTTTGTTCACTTTCACATTATAGATTGTGTAAAATGGAAATCTAATTTTTTTGGGCTCTAGCATGAAATTCAGAGACTATAGTCTAAATTCATTTGCATGTGGCGACGTGAAAATTTAATACAATATTTCATCAATCCGAAAAGGCAAAGATGAAAGGATGTTACGTAGAAATTTTCATTCTGTGTATGAACAAACTAATAATGCATGTCACATATGAAATTACGATAAAACTAAATATTAACTCAAATGCTAATAAAAACAAATCCATTTAATTATATATATATATATATATATATATATATATATATATATATATATATATATATATATATATATATATATATATATATATATATATATATATATATATATATATATATATATATATATATATATATATATATATATATATATATATATATATATATATATATATATATATATATATATATATATATATATATATATATATATATATATATATATAAGAGAGAATTTAAGTTTTTATTCTTAGAAATAATCAATAAAAAGAGAGAAAAATTTAAATTTATTTAAAATTTAATTTATTTTTTAATTAAAATTATAAAATAATTGTGATAATAGAGAAGAGAAAATATTTTTTATTTTATTTTTTAATTAATAAAAAAATTGTGATTCATCGTTTGTAAAGTCAAATGTTATGTTTCAATCTAAATTTTTTCTATATGTGTATGAGAAAACACATTAATTATAAACACATTCAACTTAGCTAAATATATTGTTGCTTGGCTATATTTATTTATTTTAGAAATTTTACAAAAGTAATTTGTTTTTAATTTCTACAAAGGTTATTTAAGTGTCTTTTTTATTAAGGTTATAAAATATTTAATTTTCTTTTTAATATTTAGTCTCTTTGAGAAATGTTATTTTATTTTTAATACTCTCATTTAACATTTACTATTTTATTATGAAATTCATATTTAAATTGAAAGACTCATATGTATTTTATATTTAAAGTGAGAGACTGATATGTATTTTATCGGCCGATAAAAGAGTAAGTGTTTGAGAATAAGACAGTGAGTGTTTGAGAGAGTATTAAAATAGAGTGTTTCTAGCACTCATTCAATTTAAAGAGCGTTAATCCATAAGTCACAATTTTTAATTATACTATTCCTAGTCAATTAATGAACTCAACATTTAAAATATGTCAGATAAATAGTCTTAGGGTTAGTAGTCACTACTTATAAAAATCAAATCGAATGCCCTACAAACAATATATAATAAGCACAATCAATAACTGAATGATAACAAACAGTCAGAGCAATTACATCAACATTATCCGATCATATGTCCTAATCAAATAAAAACATGTTCTGAAGGGAAATTAAGACACAATAACATATCAATACACAACGGATATAAAATTCCTCACACTTGTAGGAATCTTGAGGATCAACAACAAATATAAGACGACAAATCGAACAAATAAAGACACAAAAGAACACTAAAAATTTTAATATGGAAAACCCCTCAATATGAAAGTAAAAACCACGAGTCATCCAGACCAAAGAATAACTCCACTATAATAAATTAAGGGTACAAGGGAGTCTTAAAGTGATTCACAAACTAGTGCTAACAATCGTAAATCACAAAGCAAACTAGCTTACAAATAAGAATAAAAAAAGCATAAACATTTCCAAAATTTGCAGCTTCAGTGCGAAGCTGATAACTCTCACCTCAGACGTTGTATTAAATTCTGATCGATCAAAAGTTAGATACGGGTGTTATGAAAATGTCCTCCAAATTTGAGCATGGTTCGACGGTTAACGAATCAAGGATCTTCGATTTAGTGAGTCTGGTTGTAGAAAAAGAGAATGAGTTTTTCTCCTCTTTTCTCTCTTTCGAATACTTATTTTTTTTATCTCTCTCAACCCTAATTTTATCCATTCCACTAAAATAAGTTAGAAAATTGGGCTAATCATATTTGAGTCTTTATCCACATAGGAGGGTGTAGCACCCCAAAATTTGCTTGGCCTTTTTCTTGGTCGGCTTTTGTTTCTTTGCATTTTACATTTTTTGCATCCTTGCATTTGCATAGCATTTGTTCTCGAGGCAGGGGATCAATATTTCCGTGGCTCAGGTTTCATGTCCGTGCAAGCAACTGAGCAGCAAGCATCAAGAGCTTCGGCATTTATTTTGTCCAGCGGTCGGGCGACCGATTTTATTTTGCAGGTTAATTTCAGATCATGATCAGCACTCAGGCTCATGCCAAGCATTTTCACGGTGATAATGTTCAAAAATGAGGTTCAGCAGCTAGACGGAGCTCCAGTAGTTGAAACAGGGCAAATGGACAGATTTCCCACCAAAAGGCGCCAGAATTCAAAATTTGAAGGTGTTAATCGGTTAACCTATATGGTTAATCGATTAACCAAAGGGAAATTTTCCCAGATTCAAAGTTACAGAGGTGTTAACCGATTAACGCATATGGTTAATCGGTTAACCATAGCAGATTTTTCCCTGTACGTGATTTTACAAGCCGAATGCACTTGGGGTCCAATTTTGATCACCTTGGAATTCAAATTTTCACTTGGGAAGGATCTAGAATATCTTTAAATTTCAGATTTCCCTCCAAACTCCTATTCCACATTCCAAGCCTTGATTTCCAATCCAAATTCCAATCCTTGCTTTGGATCCTAAACCTAAGTCATATTTAAGTGATCCATTCCAAACCAAACCACCAATCTCTCATAATTCCATTCATTTTTCAGAATTGATCAGATTTGTCTCAAATTCTCTCAACTTCTCCATTTCCAAAACTCACACTCAAAGCTCTTTTTCATTGGAATTCTTGATTCTTCATTGGAATCAATGGATTCTTGAGCATAAACCTCTTTCCATCACTATCATTGAATCAATTCTCATCTTCAATTTTCGTGCAAGCATGGATCTGAATCTGGAGTTGGATCTAGAAGTGATTATTTGAAGCTTTTTGACTCAAATTTGGTGGATCTTCATTCATACAACAACAATTATTGTGGATCCTGAAATTTTCCAAATTTCTAGCATTTGATCTACTCAAAGTCAGTTGATCAACATTCACCGAAGCAAATCTCCGCTTCGAAGGTTGGAATTCTCGATCTGATTTAACTTTTCGAGCTTATCATGTTAATCTTCATATTCGATTGAATTTTGTTGATTTTGATCCGTTCGATTTGAGATATGAATGTGCAATTGTGTATCCATGTTGTTGGATCTCTGTTTTCTGTTGTCAATTTCGTGCTTAATTGATAAGTTGATCTGTTGGAATCTTGGATAAGCTGTTTTTGTGCTGGAAGTGATTTTCTGCTGCTGTTTTTAGCTTCTGGTGCAGTGTTAATCGGTTAACCTATATGGTTAACCGGTTAACCAATTCAAATTTTCAAAAAAAATTCAAACGTTAACAGTGTTAATCGGTTAACGCATATGGTTAACCGATTAACCTGTTCAAAACTTCAGATTTTTTCAAACTTTTTAAGGTGTTAACCAATTAACCCCAGGGGTTAACCGATTAACACTGCGCCAGAATGCCATATTTGTTGTTTTACTTGCATGTTCGCATACCGTTTCGATTCGAATCATCATAGATCAGTGTGATGCATTAGAATTAAATTGTTTTGGTTGTGGTTGATTAATCATGATGTTGTTGATATGTGTGATCATTTTCCAATTGTTTGCATGCTCGAGTATGTGGTTCGATTTGATCATTCGTTTTCATGTTCATTTGCTTTCATCTCTTATTTTTCTCCACATGCTTGCATCATTCTTGCATCGCTGTTGAGGCCGAGACGCGCTTGTGGTGGCTGCTGCCCCACACACCTTTCCTTCCTCCCACCATTCTAAGTGTGCATTTTCATATTTGCATTTTTTCTACTTGTGATTGATCCTTCCTTTGTTCTTCTTGTGCTTTGTTGCCATGATCCCCATAGGATTCCTAGTCCCTTCGTTTAGGATGGGAGTAGGAGAGACATTAGGTGCTCAATCCAAGTATGCTAACTTAGGGTAGATGTTCCCCCTTTTTTATCC